TCCTTCCCGTGTAAACTTTTTATTTTCACCCTTCTCTCTCTCTCTCTCTCTCTCTCTCTCTCTCTCTCTCTCTCTCTCTCATGTGATCTACTTCTCTTTTATAGATCAATATGTCCCAAATCATATGTTTTCTCTCTCTCTCTCTCTCTCTCTCTCTCTCTCGCACCCTCTCTCATGTGATCTCCTCCTATAGATCAATATGTCCCAAATCATATGTTGGTTTATGGTTTTTACCAAATCTAGAATGATTGTGTATCCCTCTCTGTCTACAATGAAGTTCTTCAATTTTCTAAAAGAAGCATCATTCTTTCTAATATTCTCATTTGGATCTTTTCCATTTTCTTATAATTTGAGGTGTGACTCTGAGGTTTGATGAATTGTGACTTGATCCAAATTTGATACTGTTATAGGATTTGTGAATAAAATACAATTGTCTCACTTGGGAAAATGACTGGCCATAAAAGGGTGTATAAGTTGGGCTTAACTCAACCATGTATAGGGTCTTTTGAGATAAAATCCCACCTAGAAATTCACATGGCCTAATCATACTCTGTATTGGACCTAGAAATTGAGTTGTGGATTATATTAGTGCAAACTGGCAAACTGCAGAATTAGTGAGGAGGACGTGTGCCTCAACAATATATGTCATCAAAAAATTCAGTAGATGTTCCTTAGGAAAATCAAAGTGATTATATACAAGTTTTAAATTGAATAATATTATATTCAATAGGTTATATAGCTTTATTGGTTGAGCTCTTTCACCTTCACTTAGACTACGTGGGCAGAAGTTCGAAAATTCTAAACACTTAATGAATACTTGTGTAAACTCCCTCTCCAATCGCTTGTACTAAAAAAACTGAATACTATTATATTGAAACCAATAACTTATTCCTATCAATTTGCTTTACTAATCTTAAAAGGTATGATCACTTTTTTAAAAGAGTCAATTCGATTCGTTCCATGAAATTATCATTTGAATTGGCTTGCCATGTGTTGGAATTACTAGAGATAGCACCTTTAGTTTTACAAACGAAAACAATTGAAAATGAAACTGATGGCCATATCTGATTTCCCCTCCCTACTCACAGGTGAGGTGAGTAGCCTAGTGGGGTCTCTACAGAAAGAAGAGAAAAAAAAAGAGAGAGAAAAAAGTTAAATTGATTTAGTTTTATCATATATGAACTTTTAATAA